AGCTGCTGTCTGCTCGGGGAGCCACTGCCCTCTGAATGTGTCTTCACTGGCGCTTCAATGAATATTATTTTACCTTAAAATTACCTGCGCGGCTTCCCTGCCCTGGAAGATGTGAATTTGCAGGGGCCTGGGTGGGTGTGCGGTGGCTGGAGAGGCAGCCTGGCCTGTGTGTTCCTGCCAGAGCACAGGTGTGAAAGCGCATGTGCATGCTGACCAGCGTGAGAGCAGTGGGAAAGTGTGTGCCAGAGGTGAGCGGGAGTGTCACGGAGCACATGAGGGCATGCGTGTGACAGTGTGGAAGTGTCGTGTGCGCTGGGCAATGTGCCAAGCATTTGTGGGGCAGCAGGTGGGAAAGCACCTGTGCTGGACAGTAATTTGAGTGGCGTGAGATGGGGTGTGTGCAAGAATGGGGACCAGAATTTGTGGACGCATGTGTGTGAGAGAGCGAGCGCGCCACGGGAAGAGAATGTGTGAGGACTAACCAGAGCCCAGAGCGAGCGAAAGTTTCTGGTCCAGGGCTTGAGGCTGTTAAGGTTGGAGTGTGAGTGTGAGTGTAAGTGCAAGTGCAAACGCACGTGTGTGCGAATGAGTGTGGGCATGTGTGTAAGGACGGGGAATGTGCTCGTGTGAGCAGAAAAGCATGTGTGCAAGCAAGCGTGTGTGAGGCGTGTGTACTGGCGCGGGGCCTGCACGCAGCACGAGCACGCAAGGCGACGCGTGTGCACCGGCGGGGGAGTGCGCGCTTGTGCACCGGCGTCGGGACCAAGTGCGCGCTTGTGCACCGAGGTGTGGGGGCGCGGGTGGAGGGGGTGGGGGGCGGGAGGCCGAGTGGGCAGGCGGAGCACGGGGGGGGGGGCTACGGAGTGGGAGGCCCGCGTGTGGGTGTGAGCGCGCGTGAGTGCATGTGAGCGCGCGCGCGCCGCCCCCCACTCGGCTCCAGCGGTTGCCATGGGAACGCGCCGCGGCCCGAGTTAATCATTTCCTGTGGAAAGTGTGCGGGAGGGGGAGCGGGGCGGGCCCAGGAGGCGGCGGCGTGGAGCTCCCTCCCGCCGGCGGGCCGGGCCGGGCCGAGCCCCGGGCGCTGCGGCGAAGCCGGGATCCTGCCTCCCCCAGGCCGGTGAGTCGGGGCCCTGGGGCGGGCCGGAGTGCACGGGGTGCTCGGGGCGCGCCCGCTCTGCCGCTTGGGGCGCCGCGTGCCGGCCCCAGCTGTCTGCGGGACCCGCTCGCCGGACCGCTTGCGGGGGTGCGGGGTGCGGAGGCCGGGCTCTGGAGCCCCAGCGCTGCTCGGGTCCTGGTCAGCCGGTGCGTGCCTTCTGGACAGAACCTGGGACCTTTTCCACCCCCCCGGCAGGACAAGGGGCCGGGCGACACGTTCCCAGGGGTGGGATCAGCCTCGGGATCCCCTATTTGATTTGTTTGACCCCGGAGAGTTGGAAGCTACCCAATAACCGCGCGCCAGCCCGCGCCACCCTCTCACCTTGCAGGGGATCCCCTTTGCAGAGCTCCCTTAAAGGCTGCAGTTTTGGACCCTCCTGTCACCACCTCCCCTGGTCAGTTTGCTTTGCCTTTTGCGGGGCAGCCAGGAGGGGGGGAGCCAGCTCGGAGGTTATGGAGGAAGGCCAGGGTCTATGCCCTCCCGGGCACTGGGGAAATGAGCCATTGACAGCTGCAGCCTTGGGGGTCCCAGCTGGGAGGGGCACAAGAAGCCACCTCCTTCAGCTCCCTGTTGTGAGTTGGAGCAGAACTCTGGGTGCAGTGAGGGGCCTCCCCTGGAGAGTCTAAAGAAGCAGCTGTATTTAAATCCTTAAGTACCATTTGTCACCTTCTCCAAACCCCAACACATCTGTCTCAAGGTGTGGGGGCTTGCAGCCTCTTACCTTTCCTGCTTTTCCTTCCACCTAAGACTGGGTGAGCACCTCTTCCCGTCCAGGAATATTTCCTATGCCCTTGATAAAGTAGCCATCTCCTTTGTGGGGGAGTCATTTGCAAGGAATGCAGACTCATAAGGGCCCCAGTATTCGTACTGAGAATTTTAGGGATACAGGCTGATGAGTTTTGCCAAGCTTATGGGTCCCAGGGAGGTTGCCCTTGGAAGGTCCAGGACGTTTGACTGTTTGCAGGGGAGGTCTGGGTCCAGCCACCCTCACCTCTGCCTGCTCTCCCAAGGAGACTGAGCTCTCCCCAGTAGCAGTCTCTGGACAGTTCTCAAGTCTTTCCCCCAATCAGTGCAGCATCCTGGGTCTGGGTGGGGGTGGTGGTAGGGCTGCAGGTCTACCGCCTTGGCCTAAATCCAGAATGGCAGCCCTCCTCTCCTGCCCACCCCTCTGTCTTCACCCACCACTGGACAGAGGTCACTGAAAAAGAAAATGTTTGAGTTCTTTGTGTGTACCACTATTGTTCTATTGTATTCAGAGTGTCGAGTCCTTATCCCAAGGCGGTAAGTGCAGTTCCTTCCATTTTACAGATGGAGATACTGAGGCACAGAGAGGCAAAGTAATTCCTCCAAGGTCCCACAGCTAGTAGGTGGCACAGCAGGCCAGGGCAGTGGACCTGCAGCTTTTGCTATAACCACTCCTCTTTGATGCCCCCTCTGCCCTCCCTTCCTCTGGAGTCCTAGGTTGTTGGTAAAGGTCCTGCCTTGGGCTTATTTGAGAGTCTTTGATGCTTCTGACCTTCACACCTCCCCCCACCCCCACATCCTCAACTCCCCCTCCTACCCCTCCTCTCCCCAATGTTACTAAATTCAGCTGCCTTTCCTCTTCAGGATCTTGCACACACCCTTCCTCTTGATATCTTTCTGGCTGCCTCCCGGCTTCCCTTCCTGAAAGGCACAGAAATGTCTCCTGTCCCTGTCCCTCAGACTGAGCTTATCTTCAAGTCCATCCCCTCCACTGTGGAACCGACTTCAGTGCCCTGTACCATCTTACCTTCCCTCTGCTGGGCACGTCGTGGAGTGTCTCCCTGTGTGCCTGCTGGGCAGCTGCTCCTGGGGCGGGGGGTTGTGTGCCCGGTTCTGTGCCAAGCAGCTTGGAGAAGAGGACTTTGGCTGCTCCCCCTGCTTCCTGGAACTCCACGCTGGTGTGCCTCCGTTGCTTCAGTGCAGCCGGCCCACATATTTGGATGATCCTCTGAAGGCCTGCCCTGCGGCCTTCAGGAGCCTCCTCCTCCAAGTTGTCTTCCACAGTCACGGGAGGCGGAGACTGAACTCAGCCAGGAGCCTGGCGTTCTTCTAGGGCACTGTGCACATCGGGCACCAGATCTTCGGGCCGCTCTCCTTCTGCCTCTCGGTGCTTCAGCCTTTTCTGCCCCACTGCCCACCCAGCATGCTCGAGCCTTTCCTATTGTCAGTCTCCTCCTTCCCATCCTAATAAACTTCCTCGAAGAGCAGGAAGTGACTGGCTTCCTCTGAGCCCTTCCTGCCCCTCGGTCCTTCCCAGGTCAGTGCTCTGCCCTGCTTGGCTGACGTTCTCTTAAGGAGTGCCCCGGGCTTTCTTGCAGTTTGACCTCTGTGGCGGGGCTTACTGGGAGCTGACCATCCTCTCCTCACTTCCTGATAACTCTGAGGACTCTGCACTGCTTGGCATGCCTGCCACCCCTCTAGGGTTCCCTCCCCAGCCTCCCTCCCCACCAGGAGTGAGTGCTCCGGGTCACCTCTTGCCTTGCCCAACCTTTGGTGATTGCACCCTCACCTGTGGCACCAGTGACCTTTAGCCCTCTAGCTGAGTCCCCGCCTCCAGCACGCGCTCTCTCTTCCAAGCTTCAGTCCAAGCTTGTGCGCATTCATTCGGGACATTCACAGGCCATGGCAGAGTGATAGACTGGAGGTGGGTAGAGTGGGCAGGTGCTGCGGGGCTGTGAAGACAAATGTAGCCGTGAGTCCCACCCTGGGGAGCCAGAGTGTTGGGGAGGCGGGCTCTGTGCAAACAGATAAACCACAGAGAGCAGTCAGTGCTGTGAAAGTGGGGAGGCATGCGGAAGGCGGTCCACGGTCCAGGCAGCGTCATTTGGAAGTTCCTTGGGTGCCTCCAATCCCACTCTCTTTAAACTGAGAGCTTACTCCATTTTGCCTCTCTGAGCTGTAAATGGCATCACTGCCCATGTTTGGGGATACAGTTTGGTCCCCTTAGGTGCCCCGAAGGCTGCTCTGCACATAGTATGTGCTTGATAAATACTTGGGAAGTACGTGCTTGAAGTCTGTGCTGTTCATTTGCTCAGTTCACAAGGGACCCATGGGACTTTCCATCCAGACCAGCGTTCCCCCGCCACCTCCCTTCTCCCACACCACCTGGAGCTCCCTGCATCCTGTCTGAGCAGTGAGGGCTTCATGAAGTGCTTGCCTCCCTCCTGCCTGGGAGCTTTGAGGTCATGCCTCTCCTGATCAAAGAGGCCCCCTGGAAGGTGCCTGGCACAAAGCAGCACTTGATAAATAATTAGTAAATGGAGAATGAATGAATCCTTGTAGCCCAGCACCTAGCAGGGGGCCTTCCAAGTTGTAGGCACAGGGTGAAGGCTAGTTGAATACCCGAATGAGCTGACGCTGAAAGAATTTGCTCTATGGAAGCCTGGCCTGTCACTGACACAGTCTGAGCCCCTCCTTAGTGAAATGTTAATTTTCAGGGCTCCTGGCCAACAGCGCTGGGGCTGTGCCTGAGCCTCGGGGTTGGGCACTTGGGGGTGTGCAATCAGAAAATAAGATTGTCTTGGGGGAAAGGATCAGATAGAGACTCAGGCTTCCTCTTTGCGGGCTTGGCCAGTCATCCCGCTGCCTTCCCAGTGGCCGGGCTGAGAGGTGGGGTGTCCACCACGTGCTGCCCCTACCCGAGCACCTCCTGGCCCACCATGAGCCTCACTCTGGGGAAACACACATGGACAAATGATGCCAGGGTCTGAGTCACCGGGGAGCCCTGGGGTCTGGGGAGTGGGGTCTGCTGCTCTGGGTCCCAGGCCACCCCATTCCATAGACCATTCCAGAAGGGGGCCTGGGGTCTGCCCAGGGGTGCCGGTGAGCATTCTTCAATCTCGCCCCCCTTGTTCTCTCCTAGGCTGCCCGGCGCCCAGAGGAAGCCGCTGAGCCCCGGGCCATGGTCCCGTCTCGCAGGACGTGGAACTTGGGAGCCACGCCCTCGCTGCGCGGCCTGTGGAGAGTGGGCCGGGCCGGGGAGCCCGACCCGGGGATGGCTCGCCCCGCCCCAGCCCCAGCCGACCGGGCCGCCCGCCCATTCCCACACACCGGCCCGGGGAGGTTGAGAACTGGTGAGTCCGCATTTTTAAAATGCCTCTTTATTTCCCTTCCTTCCTCCAGATACCAGAGATGAGACCGGGGTTTCTCGCAAGTTCGTAGGCTCAGTCAGAGCTGTCAGGTAATTACAGGGTGCCCGGGCGCCCGCGGCGAGCGGGCGTGGAGTCAGGGCGTCAATCTCGCCGGCGCTCCCGCCTGGGTCGTCTGTAAAGAGAAGTCGTGGACGCCGAGTTAAACTTTAACGCGGTGGCTGGAGCGGGGGTGAGCGCTGCGGAGCGCCCCGGCACGCGCCCTGGCCCCTGCGTGCGCCCTGGCCCAGCGCCCGGCCGGGTCAGCGCGACCCCGCGGCCCTTGGCCGAGCGCACCCCCTGCTCTCGCTCCGGTGCCTGCCCGAGGCCGGTAAACAAGGTAGGTGAAGTGGCTGCCGGCTGCCGGCGCCCTGCGCAGCGCTGACACTTGATCCGCCGGGGCTGGCCGGGGGGTGGCCAGAGGAGTGGACGCAGGCTGCCCCGGAGCGTGGCCTCCCTCGTTTGGGTGCCATGCGCCTAGGGGTAGGTGCCTTCCAGGGCGGCTGCTATAGGGGCCCTCTGCAGGTGGGTGGTGAAGGAGCTTGCAGTCTGGGGTCCCCCCCTACTGTCCCCCTAGGGGAGCTGTCAACACCAGCTCTCCTTTCTGGGTCAGGTCCCCTGGTGACTCCAGCATCGAGGCTGCTCTGGTGCCCTCTGGGAGCTGAATGGCCCTGGGCTGGGGAGCTGCCGTTGACCCCATCACAAGCTCCACTAGGGCTGGTGGTCCTGAAGTGTGGGGAGAGAGGGGTCTCTAGGGAAGGTGACTTCAGGGGGTTGCTGAAGTCCCTCCTGACCTACAGGCTGGTTTAAATGACCAGCCTGTCTTCCTGCCATGGTGTCTAAGCCCCCATGGAGTCTGAGTACAGAAGGGGACACTGAGGCCCTGAGAGGACATAGGCAGACTTCTGTCTAGTCCCCTCCCACATTTGTGCATCACAAAGGTGAGGTCCTTTAAGGTCTCTGCAGGAGACAAGGCTAGGTATGATCCTGGGGGCCTCCCAGAAAAGCTTGGTCTTTGAGAGGTCAGATAGCCCCCGTTTTCTGGAAGAGTTCACTCCCAACCACAAATGTAATATGAATGAGTATTGCTTTTCAGGGGCGGTGGGCGGGAGGGGATAAGAACAAACAACCCCAAAACATGTTCTCTTGGAAAACTAAAAACCAAAAGAAACCACATAGGGGAGTATAAAAAAAAGAAAAGAAAAACCACCCATAAGCTTGTCACTGAACATTTTATATCTTTCTTGCCTCTGTACGTGTGTATGTGTGCGCTTGGTCTGTTAAATGTGTATTATAAGGATTATCTGACCATATAGGCTTTTATCCTTTTAAAATTTAAGTGCAGTCAAATGACATTCTCTGAAATGCTAAGCAGTGCCTGCCCCTAGATGGGGTTTCAGCCCATTTAGTTGCCCCAAGGCCCCTCTGCTATCCCCCACTAGCCCCCTAATCTTACTGCTGCCTTGAGGGGGAGTAGGTGAGCAGAGGATGCATTAATACGTGGGATCAGAATTCTGGCTCGTATAACCCTGGGCACGTTATTAACTCTCTGGGTCTCCAGTCCTCACCTATCAGGGCTGAGTGAGAAGCTGATGGCCATTGTGGTCTGCATTTGTGACCACTTCCTGTGTGCCTGGCCCTGTGAGCAGTTTATGTGTATTAGCCCCTTTAATCCTCACCACAGACGGTGAAGTAGGTTCTTCATCCCCATTTTATTGACAAGGAAACTTAAAATAAGAAGGGCTTTAAGCCTTGGCCCGTGGCTGGCATTTGGGATATTATTACGTCACCTGCAGTCTGCCCCTGTCAGGTGAGCCACTTTCCCACACTGTCCAGCCCACAGGCTGTGGAGGGGAATTTGAGGTGGGGTGGTTGGGGGGGTCATTGCCACATCAGCCCTCTCCCCCTTCTGGTGAGGGAGGCAGTGTGTTGGAGGCAGCGGGGAATAGTTTTGACTGGTTCTGATTGTGTTTCTGGAGACTGCTGGGTCAGGCCACTCCTGGGGTCTGTAGGAAGGCAGGGGAGAAATTGCCACCTAGAAGCAGCCTGGGCCATTGGGTGCTCCCCTGAGGGTTAGCACAGGCAGAGTGATGTGGGTTTTCTTCAGCTGCTGTCTGTAGAGGGTGCTCGTGAGCAGGCCCAAAAGCTGCTGTAGAAGTAGGGGAGCCCCCTTCCCCACCCCACAGGGTCTTGAGCACCCTTCCAAAGAGAATCTTGGGGCGGCTTTTGGTAAGAAAGGAGCGCAGCCTCTGGCTGGCACCAGGCTTCCCAGGCATGGGAGTCCCATCCAGGCCTGCCCGAGTCTGAAAGCTACGCTCAGCCAAAGCCTGTCAGAGGGTCTCACCATCTTCTCTGTCCTGGGGCAGCACGTGGAAAAGACACTCCAGCTGGCGGTGACGAGGACTCCGGTGCCCGAAGTGCAGCTCGCCCAGCCCTAGCTCAGTGCCGAGCCCTCAGCGTGGACTGGGCTGGCCCTGGGAGCCCCCACAGGCTCTACCTGACCGTGCAGGTAAGCACTGAAGCCTTCAGAAACAGGAGGGGTGGGGCTGGGCCGGGTGTGCCGTGGCCTCTGAGCCCCACCAGCTAGGTCCCGGGACTCCTTAGGGGAAGGAAGCACCTGGAGACCTGCCTCTCTGCTAAGCTCCTAGAGCAAATTGCTCCATCCGCCCCGCGAGCTCTCGTGGATGGAGCAATTTGCTTTATTAAGCTATCTCAGGGAAAATCTCCCAGGAGATGACAGAAGCGTTTCAGCCACTCCCTGGCTGAGGTGCTAAAGTGGGAAACGTGGAACCCTCACTGAGAAGCTGTTAGGAAAACAGGCAGGTTTTAGGGGAGCTGTTTGTTTATTCCTCTTGTGCATGACTCCATGGGATAATACTTTCGTGATTTAAATATGGCTTTCTTGTTTTCTGTGCGAATTCAAAGCTAGACAGAGGGCTTTGCCGAAACTTGGGTGCTTTGAAAGTCACCAAGTGACAATCAAAAGACAAACTATAACATTTTTGTATATTTGGTTGTAGAAAATAATATATGACAGCAGGAACAATAGCTCCTATTTCTCAAATGCTGACTTTGTACCAGCTACTGGGCATATGTTACATAACTCACATCGGTCCTCATAATCCTCATAACAATATCAAAACATAGTTATTGTTTTAGCTGTGTTTTATGGATGATGTAATAGAGACTCAGAGAGGTTAAGTAACTTGCTACTGGTCACACAGCAATCTGGGATCTTTACTAAAAATGACCAGTTTTATAACACAGAGTATAAAGAATTAACACCAGACAGAGATGCAATATCTAGAAATTAAATTCTTCCTGTATCTATGAGAAATCCACTATTAAAGAATTTGGTGCTTATCTTTCCTATGTAACTTTTTTTTTTTAAAGATTTATTTATTTATTTATACAAGCACTGGGTACAGTCAGAAGCGCGGGAGGGCGAGAGAATTCACCAGAGCCAGAGCGGGGAGCAGAGCAGGCAGAAGGACCGAAGTACACTGCTGAGGGGAGCAGCGGGCGGCAGGAGAGGTCTGCAAGCCATGTGGGACCCTCCTCCGGTGGCCAGGGAGCAGCCGGGGATCAAACCGGTGCTGCAGAGGCTGCGGGCAGCTTCGCAACCCAGCGCTCAACCGCTGCGCTGCCGGGGAGGCCCTCTTTTTTTTTTTTTTTTTTAAATAAAGATTTATTTATTTATTTATACAAGCACTGGGTACAGTCAGAGATACGGGAGGGTGAGAGAATTCACCAGAGCCAGAGCGGAGAGTAGAACAGGCAGACTGATGAAATACACTGCTGAGGGGAGCAGCGGGCGGCAGGAGAGGTCCGCACGCCATGTGGGACCCTCTCCCTGCGGCCGGGGATCGAACCGGCACCACAGAAGCTGCGGGCAGCTTTGCAACCCAGCGCTCAACCGCTGCACCACCGGGCAGGCCCCTATGTAACTTCTTAATTACATCCATGCAATGTTTACTTATGCCCACTATTTTGTGCTCTTTCCCTCAATAGTAAATCTTGATGATTTCTCCTTGCATGTCAGTATTTAGAGAACTACTGCATTCTTTTAAACTGCTGCATAATAGTCTACTTCAGGATTTACCGTAAATTATCTAGCCAAACCTCTGTATTATTTCTGATTGCAGTGAATTCTTTAAACAAATATCTGTGCATTCATGCAGCTGTAGTTTTGAGTTACTGCAGGCCAGCACAGGTTTGACGCTTTTAATTTGAATTTTGATAAAAGAAAATAAAGCCAAGAGCTTTAACAATAATAGGTATACCTCCTGTATGCCTGGGAGAGACTTAGCATAACTGAGTAACTCCTACACTCTGAAATGAACGCATTTGTTAGTAGATATTTATGAGGTGCTTACCTTGCCCAGGGCTGTGCTAGGTCCTGGCACCCAGGGAAGAAGAGAAATAGACCAGACAACCCAGCAAAAATACCAGATCACAAATATGTGAATGTAAATTGTGCAGGGGCCATGGACACAGTGGCAGAGGACGAAGAACTAGCTATCTGGGGGTGCTCACGCCAAGGCCCTTCACCCCCTGAGAAAGATTGTGCAGGGAAGGGACCACCTTGAGGAGACAGGTATGCGTGGAGGGCAGAATGGGGTGTAGAAAACATGTACCCTTTGAGGGTATTCTCCCTCTTGGGAAGGAAAGTCCTGGGCCCATGTGGTACTTGGCTGCAAGCCTTAATCTGAACCTGGACCCAGTGTCTGATGGGGCAGTCTTGGGCTTTGAGGTTCTTCTTGCTCCTTCTGCTATGGTTCATGTGAAAACTGATCCAAACATTCCTTCTTCCATCTGTGAGGTCTGAAGTCGGTGCAGGAACAGTTAAGGGAACCGGAGTCCATTTCTCCTGACCCGAGTCATTGGCAGTTAAATCGGGAGGTGGTCAGAAACTGGCTGCTTTCACTTGGGCGGTGGCTGTGCTCTTGACTTTTGATTATGGGCTGTGGGGTTGTGGTTACAGCTGAATCCTGGGGTCAGCAGATCTGCTGCAAGGATCTCCGAGAAGCTCCTGCCAGCAGCTAGTCTCCACAGCCATGTCCTGCGGGGCCCCTTGTAGCTCCATGATGTTGACAGGCTCTTGGCAGCCCAGCTTGTGGGGCCAAAATGGGGACCCACAGTGCGGTGACCCAGTAGGCTTCATGACACCCCCTTCCCCCGAGCTCTTCAGCAGCTAAAACCTGAGGCTATCCCTACAGAGACGCTGCAGAAATTCCCAACTCCCAGGGGCCTAGCTGCCCTTCCTGTGGCTTGGCCAATGGGCCAGAAATAGTGTAACCTTTGCTCTGGTCTGGCAAATGGAAACTTCCAGCTGCCACTGTGGCCGCTACCACCGACAAGCCTGCTTGTGATGGTGTGGCGGCGGGTTGAAGGGCAGGGACAAAATTAAGTTGGCGGGAAAATTCCTAAATTCAGAGATGTGCTCACCACAGTCTCTTCTTGGGTAGAAGTGGGGTCAGCAGTGGAGGGGAGTGGATTATGCACTAGCCAGCCTGCTGATAATGCTTTTCTCTCCTTTACAAATCTGTGGGTTTTTTTTTTTTTTATTATAAAAGTTTGTTTTAAAAAAAGGAAGAGTACAGAAATAATATAACACCACTGGCTACCTGACAGGGAGATGTCTCTCACTTTCTACACAAGCTGCTGGAGGGGGTGGTTATTATTGTTTCTATTTTAAGAAGGAGGAAAATGAAGCTTCGGGAAGGGAAGTGACTTGCCCACCAGCTCACAGCTCACATGAGGGAGAGCCTGGCCTTTCTGGCTTGACTTTGGAAGATAAAAAAAGGCAAAAAGTGGCACTTGTCTCTTTGCTTTACTACTGCGAGCTCAGGGACACACAGAGACACCGATTAGCCCTCTTCCTAGAGAACTTCTGTTGATGTTGAAAGGCAAAATGGAACACTGCAGATATTTACAAGGTTCACCGTGCCAGCACCAAAAAGGTCCAGGATGAAATGAAACATGTTCCTCTCCCTTCTTTGCACACTCTCGGTTAAGTCTCTTTTCACTCCTTAAAAGGTTTAAGTAATGCCCTATTTTTCTCTTAGCCATCACACCATCCCGACCTCCCAGGCAGAACCGCTGTCTATAAATTTCTGCTGATTTTTTGCCGATGCAGAAATTGTTATTTCTATTCTCAAACAGGATTGCACGTACCTGCTGTTCTGCTAGCCTGAGAGGTCTTTTTGTTTGAGCTGCAGGTGAATTTCTCTGGATAAAACTCTGCCTCTCCCCTTCCCCTGCCCCCTTCCCTGCCTGCCCACTGGCTTCCCCTACCTCGGCCTTCTTTGCCTCAGTTGGTCCTCCACCAGGAGACAGGGGCCCATGGTCCCTGTGTAACCATGTGGCTTGGGGGAGCCCACGGCCTTCCTCTGCTCAGCCGGCCCCGCATGTGTCATCTTGGTAGTGTGATGACAAGGCTGGGAAGGGAGGCACAGATGACATCATGGGGGAGTTGCCCTAAGATTGCCCTGTGCTCTGTGGGGCTGGACAGCCCTGTGACTGGTGGGGCTGTGGGCCTGAAGTGAGCGGGCATGACTCATGCTCCAAAGAGCCCGCAGGGATGGCTGAGTGAGCTTGTCCGTCTGAGGTTTCTGAGGGCCTGAGAGTGTTCTCCACTGGTGCAGAGGGCTGGCTGCTGCTGGTGGCCAGAACGCACTGCCACTGTCTCTCTGTGAGATCTGGACACAAGTTCTTCTGGAATCTGGGCCTTAATGTCACCACCCACCTACCCACCCAGTGGAGGACAGGCCTGCTGGGCCCCGGGTCCTCACCAGCTCCAGGTATGCGACATCCTCAGGCCGGAGGGTGCCCCCTTCCTGGCAGTCCCCTTCACGTGAGGATTCTGGTTGTGTCTTGGCAGCAGGCCCTGCAGGACAAGGGGTACGAGAACAAGAGTCAGGGGAAGAAGGAAGAGAAGCTCCTGAAGAGGCAGGCGCCGGCCCCCAGGCGGGACCGGGTGGCCCGGGAAGCTGGTGGCGCCATGAATGTTGAGAAAACAGGTAAAGGAGGGCTGCCCGCCAATCTGGAACAGTCCTGGCTGAAGCAGGAGCTGGAGGGGAGGCTTGCGGTGTCTACGTGGTCCTCCCTATGAGGCGGCCAGCTGAGCCCAGCCTGAGATGGAACTCAGAGACCCCAGAGACACCCTCTTCCCAGGGCCACTGGGGCCCCACCAAGTGATAAAGAGGCTCTTTGGCCCCTGTGGGCTGGGGTTGAAATTCTCCTCTTTTTGTCTTTTCCTCAGTCCCTATCAAAAGCAGGTGAGGGCGGCAGCCTCAAAGACGCCACCGCACGCAGGCCGAGCCTCTCCTCTCGAGTCTCTGTGTCTGTGGGGGCCAGAACAGGGCTTCGCTCTGATGCCTTCATACCAGGGAAAGTGGAGGTGGTCTCTCCACTCTTCTCTGTCAAGGCTGACTAATTCTAGAAGATTCCACAGGCTCCCTTTGTGGGGTCTCCCTGTGGGAAGCCTGAACCCAGAGGTAACTGGGACAGAACATCCTCAAATAGCCCCGCAATATGTGGGGGAAAGAAAACCAGAGTCAGTTTTCTCTCTAGAGTTCATCTGTGGGCCTGAACTTGTCCTGTGGTTGGCAGGAGCCGCTCCCTTGCCTGAGGCTATGTCTGGGCCCGCAGGTCTTAGGGTCTGGCCCACAACATGTAAGCAGATAGGCTTTGGGAGGGAGCATCATCCAGTCAAGCAGGAGAACATTCCTTCTGCAAGTTTGCTGAGAAGAGAAAGAAAGTCAAGAGCGAGGACAGCACCAGGCCCCTGTCTCCCTGAGACCAAGTGTCCACAGGGTCAGTGCCTAGGCAGGGCCTCCGAGGCTTGCCCCCAAAGCTGACCTAAGAGCATGCAGCCCCCTTGGCACAAGGTCCCTCACCCCCAGCGCCTCTTTGGTCTCCCCTCTCCGCTGGCGTTCTGGAGCTTCTCCAAGGCCTTTTCTACCCCAGCAAGCACCCTCTAGCCCCATGTGCTCCCAGGCATTGTGCTGAGGAGGGAGGAACCCCAAGGCGTGGGACCCAGGGCACCTCAGAACCTTCGGTAATATGAGCAGTGTCCCAAGGAAGAGAGCTTCTCCCCGTCTCATTTTAGCCCACGGCCAGACAGGTGACATGCTCCTGCGAGTCCCTGCTGGGTTCCAGGCTGCTCTTCTGAGACGCGGGGATCCCCTGCCACATGGCTCTTGAATGGGAGCCCCAGCTCCTGGATGTGGGATGCAGAGTACGCCCTACCAATCAGGGCCACCCCCAGAGGGCTGAGGACTGGAGGGTCACGTGCTGCCCGTGGCAGCCCTGGTGCAGGCCTGGAAACTTCCATCTGACCTCACTCTAGATCAAGAGCAAAAGCTCAGCCACCCGTGTGGCATGCAGGCTGTGGCAGGTGCAAGGCCCAGGGCCACGCGGTTCACTAGCTAGTGGCAGCTCCTGCTAGGCCTTCGGAGAGTCTGGAGCTGAATGAAGGTGCCCCAAGGAGTGGAAGGACACCAGTGGGCTTGGGGTGTGCTTGGCCTGCTGTCTCGAGAGTGCAAATTGGAGCATCTCACTGTCTCCCTTTCTGGGGACGGTGCTGACAGTTGCCCTGCCCAGAAGTTTCCCTAGGTTTCTTGCAGTCTCAGAGACTGGCTGCCTCCCAGTGCGTGGAAGCTGCCAGCTGGGTGTGTGACTTCAGGCACAGGTGGCTTTCTTCACAGCATAGGGGAGCCCCCCAGTCCGGTCTGCACGGGGCTGGCATTCCATGTGGGGGAACCCAGACGCCCTGGAGCCTCAAGAGAGCGTGATGACTAGCAGCTCGCAGATGCCTTGCTGCAGGCTTCCTTTCAGACACCTGGCTCTGCCTCTCAGGGCCTTGGGCCAGAACCAGATTGGGCGGCCTGAAGGGAGGAGGCAAACCCCTCTCCCCGGTACCCTCTCCTCCACCCCACTTCTGCCTCACCCTCACCAGCTCATCCTCCGAGACCACATCCATTCCTGGTGCCCTCCAAGCAGTTAGAACAAGCCTCCCGGCCCCTTTAGTAAGTCACAGGCCTTGAGTCTGTGTCTTTGTCCATCTGTCCACCTGTCTACCTGTCTGTCTCTCTCCTGCTCCGGGTGACAGGACAGTGGAAGCCATGGGAGGAGGAGGACTCAGCCTGAGGCTCTGCCCACCCCGGTATTTATCACTCCTCATCTGTGCTCTCTGCCTGCTCAGTCCTGCCTGGCGCAGGTCCCCTGGGGGCCTGGCTGTGCCCCCTGTGCTGCGTCTGTGTCCATGTCCTGGTCTGTCTGTCCCTTGCACAAGCACCCCCTCCCCTTGTTCCCTCTCCTTGTGCAGGTGATCTCTCCCTGCAGAGGGCGGGGGCAGGCTGGGGAGCCCCATCCTCTCTTCTGTACTCTTGAGAGGGTTTGGGTTTTAAAGATATCCTGTTCCCCCAAGAATAGCATTTTCTGGGAGTAGAACTCAGGCTCCTGGGCTGCTGCTGGAAGGCCTATCTGTCTCAGCTGCCGTTCTCTGCAGGCCGGCCGTGGAGAGGGTACTGCCCATCATACCCAGAACGCATGGTTTAAGGGAGGATTCAGCAAAAGTGGCATTCCTAAGCCCTGATCTGGGCAATGCTGCCCCCTAGAAGCTGCCCACTGTAGAGGCTTCCTCCGAGGCAGGCCCCGCAGGTCCCCAGCTAACCCAGGCTGCTGCTCCCCCCAGCCCTCACCCGGTCCCCCCCACCTGCTTGCATCCCTTTCCCTCCTCGATGTCTACCCTGCCTCGACGGCATCCCTGTCCCCCACCAGGGTGGGGCCTCTGCTGCCCTCTGATCGGCCGCTACTTTGCTCATAGGTGGGCGGCTCTTTGGCAGCGGGAGGTGCTCGAGCCTGTCGGGGCCGCCACGTGCGGCCCCCGTGGTGCATAGGATGGTGGAGGCCATGTCCCAGCTGCAGGAAGAGAAAGCCCGGCTGCAGGAGGAGCTGGCAGCCCTCCGGGAGAGGCTAGCCCTCCGAGACAGTGACCAGCAAGCCACATCCACCCAGCTGCAGAACCAGGTACCTGGGGAGGCCGGGATGGGCAGACACCACTGCCCACGGTGGAGCAGGTTGGAGGACGTCGTCCAGGGCACCTGGTACCCACCAGGCCACAGGCATAGTGTACAGACAGGATCCTCTCTTGGCTCAGGGATGCACAAGAGGGCAAGATGGCAAGAATCAGAGGCCCGGGCCTCCCGCCTGGTCATCCTTGCACTTCACTCCCCACGGTGACCAGGCATCAGGACCCACCTCTCCAGAAGGGATGCACCAGGTGTGCAGGCATGAGACCTGGAAGATACAGGGGTGCTGCCCTGAGGCCAGTGCTGAGTGCATCCCATCTTCATCTGTGCCCGGGACCGGGCAGCCTGAGTGGACAGAACTTGCATAGCCTCCTCCTGCTCCCCATACACAGAATACTGGCAGGGAAGGAGAGGCTGGTATAAATGTGCCGGGAGGGGGAGCACTCACTCCTGGGGAGCCAGGAAGCCCTGGGTTTATGTGGGTGAGCTTTGTGCATGTCTCAGCTAGCCAGGAAGATATTTAGGCAGTGAACCCTCTACGGGGGTTTGACCACTGGCCTTGCTCCTGGTGCATGGTTGCTTCATTCTCCTTCCCTACCTCCACCCCCAAGTCAGCCCTGAGGCCCCTTTCCTGGGACTCAGCCCCCTACACCCATGTCAGGGTCTGTCTCATGACTGACCCTCCCCACTTTCCAGGGTCTCAGCTCTGGGAGCCATGTCAGCCCTATCGGGGATCCGGTCCCTGAGCTCTGGGTTGTCTGCAGAAAGCCTTGCCTTCAGGAGAGGCCAAGTTATTCCTCTGTCCCAAGAGCCGGTTGCTCTGTCAGTCAAAGAGATGCCCCAGCCGTGTGGACCTGCTCCCTGTACCGTGACTGTTCACTTCCAGGAGCAGAAAATTTTTTCCATGCACCTTCAAGCGCACCGTTCCCAGCCTGCACATGTGTTCTTAAGAACCACACGTCCTGACCACCTGCCTTTGGCTAAGTTGGGTGTGTCTCCTGGCATCCCCTGTGTCTCTGTCTTACACGCTGACTTCATTGTTTATTGTCTTCCGGCCAGCTTGTCTGATTAATGGGGGTTCCCCTGTCACCTGCTGCGGTGCCTCCCTGTCTTCTGCCCTCAGATGTTTGCTGAGTGCCTGGCACATAGCTGAGAGCTGGGGATGCCCACGTGGGCAGGCACACCCTGGCCTGTGCAGCCTGCAGTCTGGGAGGACAGGCATTTGTTGTGTGCACACATGTAAAGTTGGAAGAGCGTTGAGGTCGTCATGCACCCAAGGCCTGAGGGCTGGTACCAGGGGACTTATTCCAGGAGGTAGGGTCTCTTGGGGAGGTCAGGCAGAGCCTCCCCAAGAAAATAGTGCTGGAGCTGAGGTCTGGCCCAAAGCAGAGGAGGTGTCTTCTAAGCTGAGGAATAATCCGTGCAAAGGGACTGTGGCAGGAGGAACAAGATGAGTCTAAGAGAGGAACCAAGGCAGGGGAAGCAGGAACATGGCACCAGGCGGCACTGCCCTGGAGGACTGTGGGTTGGCCCAGAGCCCATTCTGCAGGATACACGTGTGGTCTGCTGCAAGAGCTCAGCAGCAGCTCTGCCTTCCCTGAACACACCATTTTGGGCTGTCCAGGCATTTCCCTTTTCAAACAAGTTGTGTTTTCTTAAAAAGCTTTCCTGAGCTCATCCATCTCAATTTTATTACGATATAATTTACCCGCCATAAAACTCACCTCTGTCAGGTAAGCAGTTTAATGGCCTTAAGTATATTAAGATGGTGGTATAACCATCACCACTCTCTAATTTCAGAACATTTTCATCCCCCTGAAAAGACCTATTAGTCACCTCCCTGCAGCCCCCGGGACCACAGATCTGCATGCTGTACCGATCTGCCTTTTCTGAACACTTCATACCAATAGAATCATAATAAAATGTGGCCCTTTGTGACTTTAAACAAGTCTTTAAAAACATTTCCCCCTCTACTAGCAAAATCTACTTTTTTTTTTAAAGATTTATTTACTTATACAAGAGCTGGGGTACAGGTCAGAGGTGCAGGAGGGTGAGAGGATTCACCAGAGACAGTGGGGAGCAGAACAGGCAGACGGACTGAAGACACTGCTGAGGGGAGCAGCAGGCGAGACAGGAGAGGTCTGTTTCACCATGTGGGTTGCTTCCTGGCTGGCCAGGAATTGAACCCGCGCTGCAGAGGCTGCAGACAGTTCCACTGCGCTGCGCTCAACTGCTGCACCACTGGGGAGGCCCTGCAAAATCTGCTTTTGTAAGAGGAGAGGTTGAAGGTGAGCATCTCAGTGTTTTTGGTGTCTGAGCCCCAGCTCTGCAGAGACCCCCAAGTCCCTGCTCCTCTACATGCTTTGGAGAATTCAGAATGGCCCCTGGTATTTGCTCACTCTTTGCCTTTGAACTTTCTGACAATTTTTCCCCCAAAATTTCTTAGGGGATGCCCCTGAAGCTCCAGGTCTCGGGGCCACTCTCCAGAGGGTCAGACCTTGTGGCCAACCTCGGGGGCCTGGAGCTGGGTTCCAGTCCTGGCTTTGACACCGCTCGTCAGCCGTGTGACCTTGGGCTAGTCAATCACCAGACCCAAACTCGGGTTCCTCCTCTGTGAGATGTGATGGCACCGTGATAACAGTGCCTGATGAGACAAGCCAGTGTTGTTGGCGTTGCCACCTCCGCCATCAAGGTTACCAGGGAGGGCTTGAGATTTGGAATCACGCGATGAGGCTTGTGTTCCCAGCTGTGCGGCTGCCTGGCTGTGCAGCTGCAGGAAGTCCTCTATGAGCCTTCATTTCCTCATCTCTAATCCCAGGCTGCTAAGTGATGCTTCCCGGTTATTCGGCAGATAGATTTTGAGATCGGGCAGAAACGTGGACGGTAAGCTGTAAAGGGCTGTGCCTGGACAGGTGTGGCTGGTCTGGTTGACTTTCCTGGCTTTCTGAGTGTGGCTTCTTTGAGAAAGTCCACGTGGGGTACACTCCACCTCATGCCCCACCTTGTCCAGACTTGCCCTCTGAACGTGGCTGCTTCTCCATGTTGCTGTTCCTGAAGGGCAGGGTAGCCTAGTGGTTAGTGAGAGCCCTGTGGGGGTCACTCAGCCCACGTTCCCGTCTGAGGTCCACGACTTTGTGGCCAGGGGACCTGGGGCAAGTTGCTAAACCTAGGCCTAGTCTTGCAACCTCAGTTTTTCTTTCTGCAAAATGGGGGTACTGATTGCACCCACTCATGGGATTCATGAATTAATTTTTTCCAGCAACATTTGGTAGTTTTCAGGGTGTGGGTGCAGCTTGTTTTTTTGTGCTGTGCTTTATTACACTCTGCAGATATTGCAGTTTTTACAAATGGAGGGGTGGTGGCCACCCTGCCTGGAGCAAGTCTGTATGAGGGCCATTTTTCCAAAGCACGTGCTCACTTCCTGTCTCTGTGTCACAGTTAATTAAGGCATGTACAATTATTTTTATACCTAATGCTCTTGTTCCTCATAGACCACAGTAGAGTGCGGACATAACTTTTTTTTTTAAGATTTATTTATTTATTTATACAAGAACCAGGGTACAGGCCAGATGCGCGGGAGGGTGAGAGGATTCACCAGAGACAGAGTGGGGAACAGAACAGGCAGACTGACGAAATACACCGCTGAGGGGAGCAGCGGGCAAGACAGGAGAGGTCTGCCATGCCATGTGGGACCCTCGCCGGCTGTCAGGGATTGTACAGGCGCTGCAGAGGCTGCAGGCTGTGGCCCAGCTTCACAGTGTGGCGCTCGACCACCTGCGCCACCAGGGGAGGCCCGTGGATATAACTTTTGTATACCCGGGGAGACCAGAAAATTGGTGCAACTTGCTTTATGGTGATACTTGTTTTATTGCGAGATTCATCTTAGTGCGGGGGTCTGGAACTGAACCCACAACAGCTCTGAGCTGTGCCTGTACAGCTTTTTGCCTCCCTGGTGAAGTTTATTCCTCAGTATTTTATTCTTTCTAACGTGACTGTAAATGGAATTGAATTGTTTTCTGAATCCCTGTCTGGGTTGTTCATTGCTCGTGCGTGGAAACAACTGGATTAGACCCTCGGCAGTCAGGACGGAGAGTCCCTGTTCTCAAAGTGTGTCTCAGTGGCTGAGGACTTGAGTGTGAAAACTTGGCAGAGGAGGCAGGACAAGGTGGATGGGTTCAGGCGGTCAGTGGTCTCGTAGACAGGAGGAGACAGAGGGGGTGCTCCCCAGGGGTGTCCCTCTGGTCTCCAACCTGTTTTCCTTAAGGCCTCAGGATCCCAGGTCTTCTTGCCTTCCCAGCTCAGCAGAGTATCAGCCATGCTCCTGGGAGAGACCCCTCTTTTCCTCAGGAGACAGCCAGTTATGGGCCGGTGTGGTGGGAGGTAGGCAGGTAATCAGCAGGTTGTCTGCGTTGATAAGAGCAAACAGCTGAGAAAACAGATCTGAGAGGGCAGCCCCACCCTCTGCTGAACTGCTGAGCCAAGGAAATGGGGGTTTGTGTCAGATCAGCAGACTGGCCCCAGCTCCCTCTCCCTGCTCCCCCAAGCAGAGGCAGGCCTGAGGCCCCTCTCCACTAGGTCCGTGTCTCAATTTCTCCGACTGACGAGGAGCCTGGGTATGGGGAGGGGGTGGGGTTGACATCTGTGCGGACCTGTGGGCCTTCACAGCAGCCTGTCAGGAACCTCTTCTCCTTTGGCCTGGCTCTTTGTGCCCCTTACCTGTCACCTCAAGTGTTTATTGAGTATCTACTATGTGCTGGTAGGCCACCTGCTGGGGCTGGGGCATAAGGGATGGTGGGGGGCTTGTGGCTCACGGCCAACTCTATGGTAGAAGGTGAGGCTTTCTAGACTCCTCCTGGGCAGGGGCTGATGGGACACATGGGTGGAGCCAGGGCTCTGGGCAGTTAAAAGCTGCAGGGACTTTGGCCGTGGACCAGCTGCTGCTTTGGCAGTTAAACCGCTAATGAGAAGGGTTGTCTGTGGAGAAGCTTCGGCCACCACAGGGAAGGTGGTGACTGCCCAGTGCCCTGTGCTCTTGGGGGGCAGGCCTGTCCATGCCCGAGACAAGCAAGGTGACTAAGTGCTGACATCTCTGGCAAAAAGCAGTCTTTTACAGGTGCTTTCTCAGTCTGTTGCCCACACCCTCCAGTCTGCCCCATGTTGTAGGCACTTCCTTTGGGAGAGCCCCTTGGATTCCAGACTGAGCCTAGGAGCACCCAGAGTTTCGATTGTGATGCAAGAAGGCAACAGGAGTCTGGGCTGCAGGAGGGTGTTAGAGCATCCTGGCCTCCCAAGTAAACACTGGGGAACCCCATTTTCACTGCATCGGGGTCTGAAGGCCAGGCCGATGTTGGGGACAAGCGAGGTCACCACACACTCAGCCTGGTGCTGAGGAAGCAGCCTGTTGGGGGCACCGGGTCAGTGCAAGTGGACCTTTGGGGGGTGATTTCTGTGTGAAGGGTGTGGGGGTGGGTGATTCCAGACTTTCAGAAGGCAGTAGACCCACACCCTGTCAGGTGGGGGAGCACAGGAGGAATATATATTCTTTGAGACTTAAACATTACTCTGAGAAGCATAAAGGCTTTGTCTAATATAATCCTACAGTCCAGAGGGCTTTGCTTTCTTGTACTGCATGCACGACTTTGGTTTTGGGATTTTTCTTTGACTAAAAACATTGCTGGACCTTGATAAACGTTAGTTAACATCGTCTGTGTGCGTGTATACCATAGTTTACTGGACTGCTCCTCTCTGCTTGGGTTTTCGGGTTTCCCACATCTCAGGACTAAGGACTTAGGCAGGCACCTTAGGCGAGCTGTCCCCCACTGCCCTCGAGGCTCAAAGGGACAGCTCCAGGCCCCAGGCTCTTGGCAGAGGGGCCATGGTAGTGCGTAGAGCTGTGGCCCAGTGGAGTGAGAAGGAAGGTGGAGGTAGTGCCAGAGGTGACCTGTGCAGCCCAGCCCTCAGGCTTCCTGCTAGTCCACCAGGCCCTCCCTGGGCCTTGTGTCTAGCAGATCCGTCTCCAAACTCAAGCGAACAGCCCTGGTGTCACTGAGCTTTCTCGCCAAGGTGGGATGGAAGCCGTGGTCCACTTCAGAGAAGCAGAGGCCTCCTCCAGCCCCAGACGGAGCTCAGAGGCTGGGGTACCCACAGACTGTGGGTGACATTTCACCATGTCAAAGGAAGAAAAGACACCTCACCATGTAAAGTGGGGAGATTTCATGCACACCAGAAAATCCCAATGTCTGGCCTCTCTTGAAAGCCAGAAATTGGGAGATACTGGGCCTGTGTCTCTTCTCTGAGCCTCCTCCTGCAGGGTGTGTGTGGAGGCTGCCTCTGTCAAGTGCATCCTGGGTGTCGGGTCCTGCTCTGCCCCACACCTGCCTCGCCGGACCAGCCCCTGAGTGGTCCTATGTTTAGTTGTGAGAAGCCAGGTCCTCGTGGCCAGGATGAGCAAAACACCTCCCGAGCCTCCACAGAGTGAGCCTGACTCTGATCGCACAGAATGTTCTGCAAGGAAACCCCCAAATGTGCTCTGGTGAACCCCAGTACCCAAATTTTTGTCTGCATCTTGGGTTCTCCCCTGAGCAGGGTGCGTGGAGCTGGGCTGTGGAGCACCAGGGAGTGTGCTCGGCTGGAGGCAGGTCGCCATCCTGGAATGTTCTCTCAGGGCTGAGCTTTGGCGGAGCTGGGTCACCCAGGCCTCCTGATGGGAGGTGCACCCCTTTACTTTTCTTCCAGACTGGAAACTCTAGTGGGTGCAGGTCCCGCATGCACCCTAGTCCCCAGCAGACACACCTCCACAGGCCGACTCAGAACCACTCAAAGTGGAAAATTCTAGGGGCTGGGCAAGGACCAATTCAATTTTGTTGTTGTTTTAAAGATTTATTTATTTATGCATACAGGAGCTGGGGTACAGGCCAGAGATGCAGTGGGTGAGAGGTTTCATCAGAGACAGAGTAGGGAGCAGAGCAGGTGGATCCACTGAAATACCCTGCTGAGGGGAGCAGCGGGTGGTGAGTCAGGAGAAGTCTGCTGTGCCATGTGGGTAGCTCCCCGGCAGGGATCGAACTCGTGCTGCAGTGGCTGCGGATAGCTTCATAGGTTGCGTCTCAACCCCTATGCCACCAGGGAGGCCCCGATTCAGTTCTGTAGTGCCTAAAGCCTATGCATTTGGGGGGAGGGCCTTTTAAGAAAAAAGGATATAAAATGACATCTACAAAAATAGGCGCAGGTCTTGGCAGGGGCATGAGCAAGGCCACATTCTAAGGTTTGGCCTCCTGAGTCTCTAGGGAGCTGTCTTGAGTGTGGCCCGTGGTCAGGTGTGCCGCAGGAGTCGCCTCTGCTGGGCTCGCTCCCCAGACTTCCCTGGGAGCCCAGGCTGGCCCGTCTGGAGGTGGGACAGGCACTGACCCTCAGAACCAGGCCAGCCTTTTCCCATCTGGAGTCCCGGCTGTGGCCTGGTGCTTGAACACACAGAGCCAGGCCAGAGACCCAAGTGCAGGCTGGAGGTGAGGACAGGACTCATTGCAGCCCTGGCTTTATGCTGGCAGGTGGAGAGCCTGAAGGAGAAGCTCATTAGCCAAGCCCAGGAAGTGAACCGACTCCGATCAGAGCTGGTGAGCAGCCGTGCCATCTTGGGACGCTGGGTGGACGGGCAGCCCTGGGCAGACTGGACCTTCCAGAAAAGGGTGGTGAGCCCCCCGTCTCCCCAGACCGGGCGTCCAATCCAAGCAGGGCCGCATCCTGACCAAGCAAATGACTGCCCGCCTCAGAAACACGCCCGAAATACTTGCCACCAATCACTAGGCCCTCAGAGGTCGTGTGGCCCCCCCAAAGGGAGGGAGGTTCATGCTCATTTGCTGACGTAAAAAAGGAGTGTGAACTCTGTGTATAAATATGACTTTTCTTGTTACTTTCACACTCAGGAAATAGCAGGGAAGGGGCGGGGGGCAGCCGGGAGTGCAGGGCCTGGCTCCCGCCCGCTGGTGCTTTCTCTTTCTCTCTGTTTCTCTCATGGGCTCCTCTCTCCTCTCACTCCTCTTTCTTTTTCTGCCTCCGGCTTTCTCCCCACCTCTTTCTCTCCCCTACCCCTGCAATCTCTCGGCCTCCCCCCGCCTCCTTTCTTACCCTGATCCGGCTCCACCACATGCCCCCCCTGGGCCCTGGCTCTCTGCAGGGAGGCACCGACTTGGAGAAGCACCGAGACCTGCTGATGGTGGAGAATGAGCGACTGAGGCAGGAGATGCGGCGCTGTGAGGCTGAGCTGCAGGAGCTGCGGGCAAAGCCGGGGGCGGCCTGCACCAGCTGCGAGCACAGCCAGGTGAGCACAGACCCAGGGTGGTCCTGGGGGGTTCCCTCCCCAGCAGGACCCCAGTGCCTGATGGTGACCCCTGCCTGCCTGCCTCACACTTGTCTGGGGCCTCCCGACTGCCTGCAGGAGAGCGCCCAGCTCCGAGACAAGCTGTCGCAGCTGCAGCTGGAGGTGGCAGAGAACAAAGGCATGCTGTCCGAGCTGAACCTGGAGGTGCAGCAGAAGACGGACCGGCTGGCCGAGGTGGAGCTGAGGCTCAAGGACTGCCTGGCTGAGAAGGCCCAGGAGGAGGAGCGGCTCAGCCGGCGCCTGCGGGACAGCCACGAGACCATCGCCAGCTTGCGGGCCCAGTCGCCGCCGGTCAAGGTGAGCCTTGGCCGGTGGCAGAGAGCAGTGTGTGTCTGGGCTGTGCTGGGCCTTGGGTCCAGGTAGGAGGGGCTTGCCTGGTGAGTGTGTAGGTGTGAGCAGCTCCAGGAAGCAGGCCAGGTCTGCACGCAGCCTCGACCCTTCCCCATTTTGCTGTCCAAGACCAGGAGCATAGTAGGCACCCTGGAACTGAGGCCTGCGGCGCCCACCTCAAACCAGGTTTCCCTGGATTCCGCCCTCGTCTTACCCTTCTGTGTGGGTTGCTGCTGCTCTTAGTAGGCTTACCGAGATGAGAAGATTCCAGGAGCCCTGCAGCATTCTGCAAAGTGCAAACCTGGTGGCTCCTCCAGTTTTTTTTTTTCCAATTAATTCATTAATTAAAATTTTAGATTTATTTATTTATGCATACAAGAACTGGGCCCTGGGTCCAGGTAGGAGGGGCTTGCCTGGTGAGTTGGTAGGTGTGAGCAGCTCCAGGAAGCAGGCCAGGTCTACTTTCAGAGGAGGAGGCGGGGGTGAGAGGATTCACCAGAGTGGGGAGCAGAACAGGTAGACTGAATGAAATACACTGCTGAGGGGAGCAGCGGGGAGTCAGGAGAGTCTACTGCACCATGTGGGTAGCTCCCTGGCCGGGGATCGAACTCATGCTGTAGTAGCTGTGGATAGCTTCATAGTGCCAATGCTTAACCCCTTGTGCCATCAGGGAGGCCCCTCCTCCATTTTTTTCAGGAGCTCTTGGTGGGATGTTTGTTGAGGGCCCCCTCAGGGCCCTGGGTGAGGTTGAGGTGCCCACCCACCTCCACGTGCCTTTCTTGCTTCCCAGTATGTCATCAAGACGGTGGAGGTGGAGTCGTCCAAGACCAAGCAGGCCCTCAGTGAGTCCCAGGCCCGGAACCAGCACCTGCAAGAGCAGGTGGCCATGCAGAGGCAGGTGCTGAAGGAGATGGAGCAACAGCTGCAGAGCTCACACCAGCTGACCTCACAGCTCCGGGCACAGGTGGGCCTCGTGGGGGTGCGTGTGGCTATTGGGGGGCATGTGCATGCAGGCCTGGAAACCGAAGGTGGAGAGCAGTGGTTGAGCACTTGGGGATCCGATGGTCTTGGGGCCCAGTCCCTCCCTTCCCTACTGACCGTGTGACTAAGGGCAAGTTTTGTCTTAGTCTGTTTCCTCCTCTGTAAAATGACCTGGTCACAGAACCCACTTCACTGTGGGGCTCAGGGACAGTCACAAGAGCCTCTGCACAGCTTGGCACACAGGCTCTGGGAAAGTGGCCTGCAAGTGCTCGCCCCACCCTGCTAGGGTTTGTCACTCGTCACCTGTTTTGTGTGGAGACCCAGGTTGGTGTTGGAGCTGATGCAGGAAGGAAGCAGTAGCTGCAGAGTTCATAGTCCTGTGGGGGACAGACCAGGCCATTTAACTCCCTCGTGTGTGTGTTCACGGTGTGTGCATGGGGTGGGGATGGGCTTCATTTCCACACCTCTTCCCCTCCCTCCTGAGCCCCGAGTACTGAGCCCCTGACCCTGGCCGGCAGATCGCCATGTATGAGTCCGAGCTGGAGCGGGCACACGGGCAGATGCTGGAGGAGATGCAGTCCCTGGAGGAGGACAAGAACCGGGCCATCGAGGAGGCCTTCGCCAGGGCCCAGGTGGAGATGAAGGCCGTGCACGAGAACCTGGCAGGTGAGCTGGCTGGCTGGGCCCCGGCCTGCCCCATGCCGCAGCCCCTCACCCACCCATCTCACACCCTCCTTGTCCTCTTAGGCGTCCGGACCAACCTGCTGACCCTGCAGCCGGCTCTGCGGACCCTCACTAACGACTACAATGGGCTCAAGCGGCAGGTGCGCGGCTTCCCCCTGCTGCTGCAGGAGGCCCTGAAGACGGTCAAGGCGGAGGTGAGTGCAGGCTGTGGGCCTTCGGCTCCCCTCCCCCGATGCTGCCACCTTCAGACCCTGTTTGGCCTGCCCAGGGGCAGGTGTTTGGGGAATTGTCTTAAACCAGATCCATTACCCGCACGTCTTTATCTCAAATGTGCCACATACTTCTTAGATCTGTTGTGGTTAATTTAATTTTTTCAAGCTGCACTTGCACAGTATGAGAATAGCCAACGTCTCTTAAGTGCCTCCTACATGCTGAGCCTTTTATAGCCATTGGCTTGAATCTATACCCAGCTCTGCAGGGGAGAAAGACTGATATATTTTGGGAATAGAAAATAGTTTTCTTTCAAAAAGAAAATGTTGTTAATACATGGTAGAAAGTGCAAACCTTGCAGAAAGGCATAAGATGAAAAGGAAAGGCCTCTTTCTGCCACCCCATCTGGCTCCCAAGGACAGCCCGCCCCCAGCGCTGCCCCAGTGCAGTCTCAGTATGGTGAAGCCTGTTGATGTAATGTGCATGTGTACGAACTTCCTTTTACCAGCTCAGCTCTGGTAGATCCACGAGTTAGATGGTGTTACCCCACTTTACAGATGAGAAAATCGAGCCTCAGAGCCACTGAACCACTTCCTGATTTTCCCAGCTCCTCAGGGTAGAGCTGGAATTGAGTCCAGTCAGATCATGTTGTCAGGGGCCGTGGCGTTGAGGTCCGAGTCTCAGCTCTTTGCTTTTTTTTTTTAATTAAAGATTTTATTTATTTATACAAGAGCTGGGGCACAGGCCAGATGTGCGGGAGGGTGAGAGGATTCACCAGAGACAGAGCGGGGAACAGAACAGATATATAGACCGAAGTACACTGCTGAGGGGAGCAGCGGGCGAGTCAGGGGAGGTCTGACACGCCATGTTTGTATCTCCCCGGCCGGCCGGGAATCGAACCGGTGCTGCAGAGGCTGCGGACAGCTTCACAGCACTGCGCTCAACCCACTGCTCCACCTCAGCTCTTTGCTCCATAAGCGGGGCAGCTTGAACTATCGGTGGATAATGTGTCTGGGGCTCAGTTTCTTCCTCTGAGAATGGGCCTGCTAGCAGTACCCATCCCGAGGGGTCTTTGGGAAAATGTGATGTGTGACAGCACATGCCAAGCGCTCAGCCTGGGGGCGGGCAGTGAGCAGGCGAGGGCCGGTCCCCCAGCAGCGCTGCACATCCCTCTCCAGATCGGCCAGGCCATCGAGGAAGTCAACAGCAGCAACCAGGAGCTGCTCCGCAAGTACCGCCGGGAGCTGCAGCTGCGCAAGAAGTGCCACAACGAGCTCGTGCGGCTCAAAGGTGACTGCAGGGGCGGCTGGGGTGCCTGGCATTGGGGTCCCCAGCCTGGCTTGAAGGTGATTTTGCTCTTTCCCACGGCTCCTGACACTGCGTCTGGGAGCTGAGTCCTGCCATGGAAGCCTGAGTTATCACCCCCTCCGGTGGCTCCAGAAAAGGACAGAGAAGTCAGGGAAACTGCTGGAAATGGCGTGGCTAGTAAATGGCCCACCTGGGTTTGGCCCTGCATGAATGCAGGGTGTGGTGTGAAGTACTGGATGGTGGGTGCTGGAAGGCCACTTGTCCTGACCGGGGGGCCTGGTCAATCTTGAGACTCTACCTGGCCACTGCACAAAGACCTAGGGAGCGCCTACTCTGTGCCAGGTGCTGTTCCAGACACAGATGTGGTCGCAGGCCCCGCAGATGCCATCCCTGCCTGTAATACACCCACTCCAGTTGGGGGAGCAATGACCCAGCGCTGCCATTACCAGGGCGGGGGCTGGGCTCAGAGAGCCCTGGGGGTCTGACAGCTGGGCTGTCCTGGGTGCTTCCTGGAAGGGGTGAAGCTAGTGTTGAGACCTGAACTATGAGTTGAAGGAGATAGGGGATGCAGAAAGGCGGGGCTAGTCACCACTGCCGCCTGCGGTAGAGTTTTCCTTCATCCAGGAGCTTGAAGCCAGGGGGTGGAGTGATCAGGGTCATGCCTCCAAGCACCCCTGGGGTACCGTGGTGCCTGTGCCCTTTCAGTGTGCTGCCAGTCGTCCACCTGCTGTCTGGTCCCGTTTGCCCATCTGATTCCTAAGCCTTGTCCTGGCATTCATAATGCCTTCTAGAAGTATAGAACAAGTCCCCTGGCTCATGGGAACCCAAGTCCCTCATTGTGTAGATGAGGAAACTGAAGCCCAGAGATGTAAAGAGAGTGTTCATTTGGTTTCCCACCCAGACTGGGTGAGTGTCTGAGCCCCACAGTTGACATTTCTTCCTTGTCCCCAAGGTGAAGTTCTCATTCTCAGTTTGTTTGCTCATGAAGGAACTATACTGACGAGAATTCATACTATAGTGTGAATGACTGATAGCAGTCATTTGTGGGACACCCTGCCCTGGTGGGATGGAGGGGCATGCTTAGAAGGGAGGCCTCTCCTGAGTCACTACCCTGCTCGCAGCGTCAGCGGAGGCCATTGTGGAGGCAGTCTGGTCTTGACCGAGCCTGTACCTTTCTCTCCTCCCCACCTGCAACCAGGCAACATTAGGGTGATTGCTCGTGTCCGGCCAGTCACTAAAGAGGATGGGGAGGGGCCTGAGGCGACCAATGCTGTGACCTTCGATCCTGACGACGACTCCATCATCCACCTGTTGCACAAAGGAAAGCCTGTTTCCTTCGAGCTGGACAAGGTCTTCTCCCCGAGGGCCTCACAGCAGGACGTAAGTAGCCCTTTGGAGGGGCAGTAGGGACAGTGAGCAGTGGAGAGAGGGGGAGGCTCACAGGGAGAGGGACAGCTGGAAGGGCAGAAGGAAGTGTAAGAGGAGGATGGAGAAGATGGAGAAGCCTGTGGCACAGGGTCTCTTTTTCCCCTCTGGAAGAGAGAAGGTGGGAAGAGAGAAGCTGAGACTAAGCCCCTGATGGGTGAGAGCCTGCAACCATTGGCCTCCTCCCACCTGAAGGCCCCACCCACCCCCAGCTCCCACCCACCACACAGCCCACATGACTCCTCCCATCTGGGTGAGGTTGCCCAGGTCCCTTCTGCGCAGGCTTCCCTTCCATCCACATGACCCCTGCCAGCCTTGAAGCCCCTCCAGCCAGGACCCCTCTCAGGGATTAGTCTCTTGGGTCTTCTAGGGCCTCCCTTGTTGCCCTCAGCCCCAGTGCAGGGCCCTTGACTTAGCATCCCCTCTTCTCTCCGGCCATCTACCCAGCCTGTTGAAGGGCAGTGCTTACTGCCCACAGGCACTGGAGGTGGGGGCTGCCACCTGGGGGCTCAGGAGCTCCCCCCACCCTGGCTTTCCTTGCCCCTAAGGAGGACTCAGCAAATGAAGGCAGAGCCAGCATGGGCCTGGCACTTCTGGCCTGCCTGGCCTCCTCTGGGCACCTGCCAGTGCCCACACGTCCCCATGCCTCATTTCACCTTTGCTCCTCTTCTCTGCCCTGTAGTGGACAGGCAGGCAGGCCAGACGAGGTGCCAGACCTGTGCTGGCTCTGCCTTCATTTGCTGAGTCCTCCTGAGGGGCAAGAAAAGCCGGGGTGGGTGGGGAGCTCCTGAGCCCCGGGGCTGGCAGCCTGCACCTCCGGTGCCTGTGGACAGTAAGCACTGCCCTTCAGTCTTTCGGCAACCAGGTCACCACTGACACCCAGTCCTAGTGACAGGAGTTGTGAAATCTCCCACAGCTAGCGGTTGCCCGTAGTAACGTGCTGCATTAGTGCTGAAGGAGAGTGGCCTGGGAAGCTGGTGCTGGCCTTGCAGCTGGCGGCCCTGGCAGCCCCTCACCCTCCATCCCGCGTTCCCCCATTTCAGGTATTCCAGGAGGTGCAGGCACTGATCACCTCCTGCATCGATGGCTTCAACGTCTGCATCTTTGCCTACGGCCAGACGGGCGCTGGCAAGACCTACACCATGGAGGTGGGTAGTGCCTGCCACACGGGCAGGGGCTCAGAGTGAAGACCCCCCTGCTGCTGCTGCTGGAGCAGGGGTTAGGTCTCAGTCTCCACAACCCCCCGAGCAGAGCCCGTGGTTATTAGTGTTGACCCCCAGGCAGCAGGCCCCAAAGAGGGGACACCTTACCCAGGTGCACCTGTTGTTGTCCTGCCAGGTGTGGGGAAGGGGCAGGCGTGCTGACAACAGGGGGGCCCTGGCCTGGGATCAGGAGGGGTCAGTCATGGGCAGGATGTGGGTTTAATGCACTCCCACTGCGTGACCACCCCATGTTGGGCCCTGGGGGCATCAGGATGAATGAGGCAAGTGTGGGCCTTCGAGGAGATCCAAGGACAGCGGGTGACACTGGCCAGTGGGGGCCATCATGGGGTGCCCAGCTTTGCCTGTGGCCCCAGGATAGGGCTCATATCCCTACTTATGACCATCCCCCTCTCTCTGGGGTGTGGTTGGGGACATGGGGCATTGAGAGGAAAAAGAATCTTGACTGTAGAAAAATTGCAAAGCTGCCCCAGAGGGTGTCTTTGGTTTGTTAGCATTTCCCTGGCCCTCGAGGGGGTGCTCTCAGGCATTGGGGACAACAGGCTTGCCATGTGCCTGGGCAGGAGCTGCGAGTACTGAGTGGGAGTGGGACGGAGGTGCCATTTAAGGGGAGGTGCGGGCTCCATGTTTCTGTCTAGAAAAGCCAGCCAGCACATCCCAACCCAGGCACTTGCCAGCGCTGCCTGTGCCACCTCTGCACAGAGCCTGGCTCGTGCCCTCCCTGACATTGGGCAGCGGCAAGGTAGTTAGGTTCCCACTGCCCCCTTCCAGGTGGCCCCCCCATGTGTGTCTGGTGCCCAGCACCCTGTCAGTGCTTCACCTGGGTGGTCTGCTTCAAGTCCCGGGGTGGCCCTAGTGGGGTGCTGTCATTTTAAAGGTGAGGGGGACTGAGATGCCGGAGGTGAGATTGCCTGCCACTGGTGGAAGGGCAGAAGGGCAGCCAGGTGAGGGCTCCGGGCAGTGTAGTGGGGCGTGGGGCCACAGATGCCGCGTGCATGTCTGCAAGGCTCACCCTTTGTGGCGGGGTGGCAGGTTCACTGGGGTTGTCCTTCTACCCCAGGGGACCCTGGAGAACCCCGGCATCAACCAGCGGGCCCTGCAGCTGCTGTTCTCCGAGGTGCAGGAGAAGGCGGCCGACTGGGAATACACCATCACCGTGAGCGCGGCCGAGATCTACAACGAGGTCCTCAGGTGGGAGGCCCCCCGTGGGAGGCCCTCACAGGGGGCTCAGGCCTCCCGGAGCTTGAGGCCCTGAGGCTTTGTGTGGAGCCATGGGGGATAGGAAGCAGGGTCTCCCCAGAGGGCCAGGGCCATAGAAGGCAGTCAAGAGCCCAGGCAGGCTTAGCCCTAGGTTCCGACGGGTGGGGCCTGTGCTGGGGCCGACCCCAGGCAGCAGCAGGGAGGAAGGCTCTCTCTGAGCTCGTGAGGGGCACCCCAAACAGGCGCTTTTTCCCCACAAGCTGCTTCCCCCTACCTGTGGGCTGCTTTGGGTGGCAGTAAACCAGAGTGGGGCCTTGGAGAGCCCTGCCACGGGGTCTGTGCACCGGGGCACTGCAGGGTTGGTCCCCACCCTCTGCCAAGTGCAGGGGGCCGCTGGCGGAGGGCAGGGACACTAGCCGAAGCTCAGGGGTCGGGCCGGGGGACATTCTAGCCTGGGGGAGCAAGGCGTAGTGCAGCCGAGGCAGGAGTGGAGGGGGGTGGGTAACGGCCGCCTGCGTGTCCCTCCAGGGACCTGCTGGGACAGGAGCCTCAGGAGAAACTGGAGATCCGGCTGTGCCCAGACGGCAGCGGGCAGCTGTACGTGCCGGGGCTGACCGAGTTCCAGGTGCAGAGCGTGGAGGACATCAACAAGGTGCGGGGCCGGCGGCCAGGTGGACGATGCTGAGGGGACCCGGAGACAGCAGGGCGGGAGGAGCGCAGAGCCGGGGTCCACGCGGGCGCTGCTGTCCGGGCCTGGCAGTCCCCCGCGGCCCTGCGCTCAGTTTCTTCCTCTGCGAAGTGCTGAGCGCGTCGCCCCCGCAGGTGTTTGAGTTCGGCCACACCAACCGCACCACGGAGTTCACCAACCTGAACGAGCACAGCTCCCGCTCGCACGCGCTGCTCATCGTGACGGTGCGCGGCGTGGACGGCAGCACGGGCGTGCGCACCACCGGTGAGTGAGGCCCCGGCCGGCCCGGGCCCCTGCACCCCCGTGGGGCGGCCTTGACCTGCCCGTGTCCGCCCCGCAGGGAAGCTGAACCTGGTGGACTTGGCCGGCTCGGAGCGCGTGGGCAAGTCGGGCGCCGAGGGCAGCCGCCTGCGGGAGGCGCAGCACATCAACAAGTCGCTGTCCGCCCTGGGGGACGTCATCGCCGCCCTGCGCTCCCGCCAGGGCCACGTGCCCTTCCGCAACTCCAAGCTCACCTACCTGCTGCAGGACTCGCTCAGCGGGGACAGCAAGACCCTCATGGTGGTGCAGGTGAGGGCAGAGGGTGGGCAGGGTGGGGTGGCGGTCAGCGTCCGGGGGTCCAGGCAGCGCCTAGACCAGGGGTCCCCTCCTGGGTACTCCGTGCTGTGCAGGGAAGGGACCCTTGTCCTCAGCAGCTCCAGAGTCAGTGGCCTGCCTCCCAGCTCCCCCTGCAGACCTGACCACGTGCACCTCCATGTGCCCCCATCGCTGCCACCTCACCTTCTGACTCCCCCCAGAAGCTCTGGCTGTGAGCTCCACCCCCCCCCAAACCTGGAGCGTGCTGCCCCTTCCAGTTCTGTGGGGGCAGCTGGCTCGGGTGGGGTGCGAGCTCTCCTGTCTCCTAGGTGTCTCCCGTGGAGAAGAACACCAGCGAGACGCTCTACTCCCTCAAGTTTGCTGAGCGGGTGCGCTCGGTGGAGCTGGGCCCCGGGGTCCGCAGGGCAGAGCTCGGGTCCTGGTCCAGTCAGGAGCATCTGGAGGTACCGGACCACTGTAGGCCTGTCTCGGGGTGCCCCTGGGACAGAGACTCCCGGGTCATGAGCGGGAGGGCGGGCCTGGGGAGCAGACAGGAGATGCCCGAGGGGGTAGAAGAGCAACTTGAACCCAAACCTAGTGGTCTCTTTAGCCCATTTCTTCTTGGCCTCGGAGGCATGTGTGGGTCATCAGCTGAGGGGCGCCAGGAGCACAGGTGCCTGGTGTTGAGTTAATGCCCTTGAGCTGGTGCAGTTCTCGCGATCAGGAGGTGGAGGGCTGGCGCCCATTTTAGAGACGCGCAGTTTCGGGAGGCTAGGAGGGGAAGGAAGCATGGAGGGGCCAGGGCAGGCCCCCTTCCCACCCCACCCCTGTTTCTGCCGACAGTGGGAGACAGCGTCCCAGACGCCCCCACAGCCCTCAGCACGCGCCCATTCGGCTCCCAGCTCTGGGACCTCGAGCCGCCCGGGCTCCATCCGGAGGAAGCTGCAGCCCTCAGGTGAGCGTTGGGGCGCGGGCCGGGCGGGTGGCAGGAAGGCCTCCCCAGCAGCCATCACAGCCACCGGGTTGCCTGCACCTGGATGGGCTTTTTCTTGTTTTTCCTTTTAAAAGAGTGTATAAGAACTCTCCAGAACCTGTTGCCCGACCTCAGCCAGCCTTGGGAAGCAGTCACCCAGGGCTGGGCTTGAGGCCCCTTGGTGAGGGGGTAGCCCCACTGGGGCTGCTGTCTGAAGGGCCAGGACCCTGTTCTAGGCTGGGCTGCCTGTGGCTCCCAGAGGTGGGAAAGGCAGGGCTTCACTCCAGGGAGGAGTGACTCTAGCCCCAGGACCAGAATGAAGGGCTCCACCCCACCCCCAACTTGACCCCACGCATGTAAGGGCCTGGCCGATACTTGAGTTCAAAGGAGCAGGGGCAGCAGAGTTCAGGGGGCTCCTGGCCCAGGGTAAACCCACCAGTGAGACGTCTGTCGCTTTGATTTCAGCCTGAAGGCTGGCGCTGCCGTCTCCAGGTGAGTGTGGGGCCAGCGGCCCAGGGCTGCCGCCCACCCGCCTGCCTGGCTGCCTTGGGTTGCAGGGCTGCGCCGGGAGTTCTGCTGCTCAGGGCTGGGCCTGTCCCTCCGCTGTGTGCTGTCTGTGCGCTTCTGCCCGGCTCCCGCCTGCTCTCAGGGGTCCCCAGACTGTGCCGGTGCTGACAACCCTCCTCCCCCCCTGCAGGGAAGTCCAGGCCGGTGCCTGTGTGAGAGACGCGGTCGTCCCTCGGGCCAGGAGCTGGGTCCTGAGGCCTCGCTGGCCTGCTCCTGCTGCAGTGCTGGAGCCTGGGAGGCAGAAGGCAGTGTGGAGGCTCCTCCTGGCCTGTCTTCCCTCAGAGATGAGAAACATGTTCGAAAGGAAATGGTGTCTCTCGGCTGTGGCTAGCATGGGCTGGAAAGGTGGGGATGGCCTGTTCCACCTGGCGGGCCCAGGCTGCCGAGAGCGGGCCCTTGTGGAGAGGGTAGTAATGTGTGGGAGGGTGGCCCCTGCCGACCCAACTCTCCCCAGCCTGCAGGGCCCTTTCTGTGGTGGACGGGCTGAGGCAGCCCAGGAACTGTGGGGACTGGGCGGGCCGGCGGGTGCCCCATGCGGTCCACGCCCCCTCCCGCACTGGCGTGTACATAGTCCTCCTAGGTGTACATAGGAGCAGGCCCTGCCGCCGTGGGCCTGGCTGTATTTATGGCTGGCAGGAGGCCAGTGGGCGGGGATTCTGCTGCTCCCCTCTTCTGCCTGCCATCAGGCACTCTCCTTGCTCACTGGCCTCTTGACATTTTTCTCCCTCTGAAATCCTATTTAAGAACTTTTGGAAGTTTAGCCATTTATACTTATGAAAATAAAAGCCTTTTTACACAAGTGTAGCCTGAAAGAGTTGCTCTCGTGACCCCAGTCAGATCACAGGGAGCAGGGCATGGGCAGACACTGTTGGCCTGCCTACCCCCTCCCAACCTGCCCTCTAAGTCACGGGTCCTGAATGTCCACCAGTGGGAGGCCCAGCTCCTCCCACCCCCGAGTGTCTGAGGACCCCAACCACAAGTGTAGTTGGTCTGCACCTGGCCCCAAACTTGGGGAACCTGAGTAGGGGTTAAGAGGGGTCCTCCCTCTGAGACTGAACCCAACAGCTGCTGTCTTTGTCAGCCCTTTGGGGCTGACACCCAGGTCAGGAGAGCTTATTCTGCCCAGTCAGCCCTGGGGGCTCCAGCAGGGAATAAAGATTGTTCAGAATCCTCCTCCTTAGAGGACGGGAGTTGCCCTTGCAGGCCCATCCTTAGAAGGCCCCTGGGGAGTTGGGGGAGGGTGCTGGGCCCTGGCCAGCCTGGTGGTGGGTCCTGCAGTGCACCCTGCAGTGTACAGCTGTTGGCTGGCCTTGGACATCTATAGGACAGCTGAGATGTGACCAAGGCAGAGGGGTGGGCTAGTGGGGCCCACCCCTCACCTGTTTGTCCTGTCCACAGAAGGGGGTGTTGCTGTCTCTTTCCTCTTCCAGAGTTATCTGCGCTGGCCACCGCTCTGCTGCCCCCTGCTGGCCACAGTTTGGCACAGGCTTGCAGGGAGTGTTCTTTCTGAAGAGGCCAGGGAGGGCCACATGACCAGTAAGGAAACCAGGCCATAGTTACAAATTTAATAAAATTTGCCTTATAAATTACAGCAGCAGCCCCAGGGCTCGGTTTGCTGCCCCAAGAAGCAAGAGCTGGGCCAAGCTGGGCAGCCGTTGCCAGAGTTGTTTGAGAGTTCGGGGCTATGGAGGTGGCCAGTGAGCCGATGCCGCCACCTCCATGATGGCCACAGGGCAGCAGTGGGGGCTGGGCTGAGGCTCGTGGGCAGTGGGCACACCAGGAATCAGAGTGGGGGCTGAGGCGCGCCCCCACCCACTGGTCTCCTCAGTCCAAACTGGCCATGAGCAGGTGCAGCTCGCGGAAGGCACTGCCGTGGCGGCCGCTCAAGCCCGACTTGCTCTTGACGAGGCCGCTGATGCTCCTGAGCTGCTTGTAGCAGAGCCGGCACTTGTGTAGCCTGTGGGCCGAGGGCAGGGTAGTGTGGGAGGGACGCAGAGAGCAAGGCCACTGTGACCCACATCCGACCCCAGGGCTGCCGATGGTCTCATGGTGCCCACCTCCTCCCAGAGGAGAGCTGAGGCCCAAGTGCAGAGGACCCACCCAATCCCAGCCAGGGCTCAGGGCAGAGCTGGGCCACGGAGGAGCCTAGACGTGACCCCCACTCCGAGCAGCCACCCCGGCACAATCACCTCACAAGCGTGCCCTAGAGCCCTGTACCCCAGCACTGCCTGAGCCCTCACCTCTCCTCCCGGCTGATGTCCACACCAACGGAAGGTGGGGCTGACAGGATGTCTGTGATCAGGGGCAGAAACCGCTGCAGGATCAGCTTCAGAGAGGTGCAGCCCGTCTGGACGTAACTTCAGGGATGGACGACGGATAGAGCCACAGACAGAGGGAGCAAAGGCAGATCAGAGGTGGCATGGGCTTGTTTTCACGCTGGTTCCTCCAGCGCTTAGAGGGGACAGCAGCGCAGCGGCCACACATGGGCACTGGCCTGGCGCTCCCTGCGGCCCCTGCGGGGGCTCCTGCCCCCGCCCCTCCCCCTGGGGAGCAGGTGCGGCCTCCCGGGGCATACCTCTCATACTTGCTCTGCAGAAGCTTCTCGATCTGTGGCAGGACCGTGGTGCACAGGTCCAGCTTCCACAGGGAGCTGGGGAGATGGCAAGACATGCTCAGTGCCCCACCCCGGCCGGGCACCCACCCCACCCACCGCAGCACTTACGCTTTCTGGTTGACAATGTTAAGGAGATCCACCACCACCGACAGGTCGTTGATGGCCACGGCCGAGTCCACTGACGTCTGTGCAGACAGAACACCTGTCAGAGGGGGCTGGGGACAGTGGACCCAGCCGGGTGTGGTGTGGTGATGGGGTTTGCTGTGGGTGTTTGTAAGACTAGCTAAAATGAGCACGCGGCCAGGCCCAAGAACAGGTGCTGAATACAAGCAGCTTGTGAGGATGGTAATGACCAAGGGCCCCCTACTCCTGCCCCGGGCCTCCCCGGGTGCAGCCCAGCGCAGGGCAGGGGCAGGGCTTGCCTTGATGTCGCCCGTCGTCCACACGGCCCGCACGGTGTCCAGGTTCTTGTGGCGGCTGGTGAGAACGACACACATGGTGTCGTGGCCTTTGCGGATCTGCGACATGGCGTCCTCATCAACCAGCTCCGCCTGCTGGGGCATCTTCACGGCCTGGCAGGACAGATGCCCAGAGGCTAGCAGCAAAGCTCTGCCCTCGCTCCCCCCAGGCCTTCACCCCACCCTTGGGCTGGGTCCCCCCACTTACAGGCAGGAAGTCGGAGGCCTTCAGTCCAATGGGCTCATTCCGGGTGGCAGGGATGATGGCAGGCTCGGCCTTGGGAGCAGGGGTGGGCGTGACGACTGGGGGCCGGGGTGGGACTTCGAGCTGGAGGGGTTCAGAGCTCAGTGGGCGGCCAGTCTGAGGCCTTCCTCTCTGCCCCTGGCATGGGAGACCCTCCATGCTGGTTCAGGACTCCAGCCCCACCCCACCCCCGCTGCCCTGGTGCCCTCACCAGGTCCTCCCCAGCCGGACATACGTTTGGCACCGGAAACTGCGTGTCCACGGCTGGGCTGGCCTTGGCTGCCTCCTTTGCTGTGGCCACGTCTGTGGATACGAGGAAAGGTTCATTGGCTGGAGTCAGTGAATGGGAATGGTGGGAAGGCCCAGCTTGGGGTGGGATGCCGGCTGGCGTATGTAATTGGGGGTGATGATACAGGAGACAGTGGGGCAGCTTGGGCAGCTGGGAAAGCGCCTTTAGCAGTGCTGGGTGGGCTGTGCCCTCCCACTCACCCGCTCACAACGCTCTCAGAGCAGACTAGGGCCATGTGTGCATGGAACCTGGGGAGCTCTGGGGAGTGGTAACCCCATCACCAAGGCAGGAAGTGCAGGAGGGAGAGGCCCTTCAGAAGCCTCAAGAAGGGAGACGAGAAGACAGAGCCAGTGGCAGGGAGGGATGCTGTGAAGGACAGGGGTGGCCTGGCCCCTTCTCAATAAACAGATGGTGTTTTCTCCCTTAAAGCCTCCAGAAGCAAAACCCCAACACCCAAGTAGTAGTGGGTGGCCTGCACCTGTTGGCTCCTTCCCTCCTCACAGGGCTGACGTGGCCCCCACAAAGCCTCACACCCCATCTCTGCCACGCGCCTGGCTCTTCTCCAGCCGGCATCTCAGCAGGCCCGCTGTGAGGCTGTGCCTGCAGCATGAGCGAAGTCAGGGTGGGGGTGGGCCTGAACTCACCATCTTCTGGGGGTGCAACATCCTCCGGGGGTGCTGGGAAAGGCTCAGTCCTTCGGGGCGGGGTGCGACCTTAAAACAAAATGGGTGTGAATGTGAAGTTGGGGAGATGGAAGCCATGGGGGGAGAGAGGAGAGGGCCCTGATCTGCCCTCTTGGACCTTCTTCCCTTGGACCTCCAGGCCTCCCTCCCTTCTCACCTTCTCTTTGACCTTCCTCAGGGCCTCCCTCCCCTGGACTTCCCTCCTTTCTCTCCTTCCTCTGGCTCACCCTCCTCCCAACTTTCTCTCCAGCCTCCCTCCCTACAAACCTGTCCGTCCTGACCTTCCTCCTGACCTCCCAACCTCCCTCCCCCTCTGTCCTCCAGACCAACCTCCCTCCCTCCCAACTTCCTGACCTCTGTCCCGCCTCCCTCCGTCCATCTGTCAGTCTGCCCTCCGGCATAGGGGAGGGCCCGGGCTCACTGATTCTGTTCTTGGGCTGGAAGATCTCATTGTAGTCCTCCGTGTTCTGGATCTCCGCCCGCGACTCCCGCTCGTCCCGGTCATCCTCACTGCTGGGGCTGCGGCGCTCGCTCTCCGAGTTCTGCTTCACCCTGCGGAGCAAAGCCAAAGGGAGGCCCGGGTCCCCCAGTGAGCTCAAGGCTTCCCAGGGCCGAACCCATCTCCTGTGCATCCCTGCAACCCCCGAGGCCCAGAGCACCCTACCTCTGAGGCTTGCTGCAGGTGGTGCTGGGTCGCTCGTATATGCGCCGAAGGGGAGCGCTGGTCTGGGGTGGCTGCTGGGCCAGGGGCTGGCTGTCCTGCACAGGGTCCTGGGCCACCGTGCCTGTCCTGGTGACCCGCGTCAGGTCCACCACATAAGAGGACACGTTGCTCTGGGAGAAGGCCACGCCTATCTGCAGGAAGTGGCAGAGCTGGGGCCAGACCCTCTGGGGCAGGCTCTGGGGTGACGGCAAGGGGCGGGATCCCAGCTGGGCTACAGGAAGGTTGGGGGGTGGGCCGCTCGCTCACCAGCTGGTTGTTGCAGATGGCCAAGTCGGCCACCTTGCCCCAGTTGACGAGGACCACATCGAAGCAGCGTTCGGGCTCCCAGCCATAGACACGTAGCGAGTCCTGGCAGCCGCTGTACAGGCAGCAGCCGTCGGGGTTGAAGAGGACACTCCTGGGCCAGGCGAGAGGTGGCTGTGGGTCCCAAGAAACCCAGGGAGGCTGAGGGGTGCTCGGGACAGAAGGGAGCGGAAGCAGAGGTGGGAAAAGCCCGCCCGCGTGCACGGCCTGCTCCTGGGAGAGGCCAGGCTCATGCCCCACCTGCGTACCTAACGGGCCCTGGCTCCCCTTCGATGCAGCTCACCATCTGGAATTTCTCCAGATCCCAGAAACGGATGGTCCTGCAAAAGCAGCCAGGTTATGCTGGGGTGCCCAGTTTCTCTCTAGTCACGGCTCCCTCCAAGGGACCAGCCCACTCATGCTGGGCCTGGTTGGTGCCACTCATGCTGGCACCAGTATGGGGAAGGTGAATAGGGAGGGGCTCCGATGCTGCCTTGACTGGAATTTCTTCAGTTTCTGTGGGATCATCAGGCATATGACACCCCCGACAGCCAAATTGGGGAACCACAGGACAGATGTGAGGGAGAGCAGTCATGGGTGACAGGCCTGTCCCCTCTCACCTGTCAGAACTGCCAGAAGCCAGGAGGTACTCGTTGGGGTGAAACTCTACCACGTTGACAGGCCCCGCGTGGCCAGGGAACTCGGACATCATTTTGCCAGCAGTCAGATCCCAGAGCTGGTGGGGGGGCGGTCAGGGCAGGGTGGATGTCAGAAAGAGGCCGGGCAACTGTGCTGATCCCTCCCTCTATT